TATTGACGCAGCTTCAGTATCGTCCGGGATATAGAACCGTAAGCGAGGGACGAGCAATCCGTTGACTCGGGTCGTGCCAGAGTACTTCATCAGAACCCCATCCTCATCGAGCCGATAGTCCTTGTGGTCGACCCCGCTGGTCTCCAGCTGAGCAATTAAACCGCTGGCCTTTGGGGAGTCACGCTGGATTTGCAGAAGCTCCTGTCGGTAGGGCCGGCCGATGGCGGCGCTGACCACCTGCGAGCTCCTAGGTAGGCCATCTCTCCTGTATGGCAGAGCATACAGGGCACGAGTGAGCTCGTCGTCATCGTCGGGCATGCCCCCCTGATTTTCCGGGGAGTTTGACTCGCCCCGAAATGACACTGAGACGGGACGACCGTCGAAAATAATGGACTTTGGGATTTTCCACGCCTCGGCCAACCGACTCAGCGCATCGGCCTGTGCATCATTTTGTTCCCCTGGTAGATGGCTCATATGGGGCCGAATGCCATATTGCCGATCCCAAGCATCCCGCATGTCCGAGACGGCCTCGCATAGCCTCGAAACGGCGGCTCTTTCGATAGATTTGCAAGTCAGCCGATCTCCTCCTCGAAGCCAGGATAAAGCCGTCCTAGAGTCCGTGAAGAACCGTAAGCCGAGACCACCGCAGTAGGGCACCAGCGCATCACAATAGGTGAAGGCCAGAGCAAGAGAGTAGGCTTCTTGACGATTTTGATGCCAGCAAACTTGGGGCCCCCGCCAGCATTTGGCCTTCCCGCACAAGGGGACCTTTTTGCCGGAGGGCCTCCGGCGGAGGCGGACTCGAGCCATATCCAATAGCCTAGGCCATATGGAGAAGAGTCCGAATGGACTGTCACCGAGGAGGCCGCAAAGCTCACCGAGTGCTGACAGGGCTGTGACCGAGTTGCCAAGACCTGGGAGGCGACATTCATAGCAGCAGCCTCTTCCGCCTTGAGCGCCACTTGCTCGTCCCAGGAACTGTCCTTCCATCGTCCAGCTATACGCCGCACCAGATCGGCCGCTAGACAGCTCTCAGGATGAAGACCGAGTACATCGTACCCAACGCCGGCGAGACGGAAGCACTGCCGTTTGCTCGCAGTCGAGCCGGGAGGGTAGTCGATAATAGTCTCAGTGCCTGGTAAGACACACCGGAGCTCCACCGTGTACACTCCCTGAGCCTGCACGCATGCAAACGTGACGCCCAGGTGCACGAAGCTAAGGAACTCTTCGCGGCAACCATCATGAGAGAAGCAGATCTCATGGCCTTTTACATCTGAGAATGTGAAGCCCCAAGCGCGCCCGATAGCCTTAAGATACCCTCGCAAGGCCCGAACCTGGCTGACCTCACCCAAGAGCGTTATATCGTCGACGTAAGCCCAGCAGCACAAGGGCACACCTGCGGCCCCAGGTGAAGCGCCACCCGAGCCGAGGGTTTTTGTCACAGCCGCTGACAAAAGACCATACATTGCTTCTTCCAAAAATAGCGGGCCCCGCCTTGTGCCCAAACAACAGGCGGCGTAC